CTATCTCACTCAATGACAATGTTCCCGATTCTAAATTTTCTTTTCTTCTCTTTCGCCGACAATTATTTTTATATCTATAAATCCACCCTACAACTCGTTTGAGTTTTTGAAGATCCGAAAATCTAGAAAATAACTTGTTTGACTGTTGATCAACCACCACCAGACTCCTTATCAAACGCTTTAACTCTGGAAGGTCACTTTCTATTTTCAATGTTTCAATTGGCCACTCTTCAGAATTGCTATTTAACCAACTAGGACCATTAAACCAAAACTTATCTTTCATCAATCCTGAAGGAAGTATTCCTCTGCTTACTAGGTCTGCCGGGTTGTCTTTAGTTCTGACAAAATGCCAGTCCTCTTTGTCTGTTAAGGTTTGAATCTGACTCACTCTGTTGGCCACAAATACTTGAAATCGATTTGGATTTGATTTTAACCAACTTAACACAACAGTGGAATCTGACCACAAATATATTCGATCAAATTTTATTTTCAAAGACCTCACTACCTTATTAACAAGTTTTGCTAATAATAACGCACCACATAACTCTAATTTTGGTGTAGTTAATGATTTAACTGGCGCCACCTTTCCCTTTAAACACAACAAATTAACTGTAATTTCAGCATTCTTATTGATACTTCTGATATACACACATCCCCCGTAGGCTTTATTAGAAGCATCCGAAAATCCATGTAATTCTATATAATCGAATTCTTTATTCACAACTTGTCTGCAAATTTGTAAGTTCGTTATATTCACTAACTCAGTATTAAATTTCAACCACTCATTTCTTAAATCTAAAGGTACTGGATCATCCCATGATAACTTCAGCAACCACAATCTCTGAATTATAAGTTTTGGAATGATTATACAGGGACTTAATAATCCTAAAGGATCAAATATATGGGCAATTTTTGACAATATTGATCTTTTTGTTACGACTGTTTCTACACAAGGGTTTGTTATGTTATATTGTAAAGTATCACTTTCACCAGACCAAAATAACCCTAGTGTTTTGACTTCGCCTTTTTCTCCAAAATGTACTTCACTTGACTCTTTTTTATCTTGCAGTTCTTTCAGTACTTCTTTGCTATTAGATTGCCATTTTCTCAGTTGAAATCCACCTGACTGCAAGACCTTTGACACTTGTTTTGCTAATTCTACCGCTTCACTCACGGTTTTTGCACCTGACATCATATTGTCTACGTAAAAATCTGACAAGATCACTTGTCCTGCTTCTGCATTTTCTCTTTCTTTTATACACTTATGGCCCAACTTCTGCAAACATGCCACTGCCAAAAAAGGACTTGATGTGCAACCAAATATAACTGTATTTAATTTAAACTCCTGTAACTCCATTTCTGGACTCGATCTCCAGAATATTTTTTGTAATGATCTCTGGTGTTCCTTTACCCAAATCTGCAAGAACATTTTCGCAATGTCACCTGCTACCACTACGTTATGCATACGAAACCTTAAAAGTATAGCCAATAAATCATCTTGTAGTTGAGGCCCGACATATTGTAAATCGTTTAGAGACACTCCATCCTCTGATTTGCAACTCCCATCAAATACAACACGTAACTTTGTCGTTGAACTATCTTTATTGATCACTCCATGGTGAGGTAAGAAATATTCCTTGTTTTCTTCATTCTTTTTTGTAACTTTCGACATATAACCCAACCTTTCATATTCTGTCATAAAGGCTGTATATTCTTTTCTCATCTTTTCATTTTTCGCAAGTTTCTTTTCTAACATGTAAAATCTTTTTAATGCTATTTCCCTGGACGATCCTAAATCCTCAGTATCTTTCTTGAATGGAATCTCCACAATAAATCTGCCCATAGAATCTCTTTCTAACGAACTCTCGAATAACTCAACACATTCTTTATCTACAACTCCTAACTCTTTTGGTACCTCCTCCAGTTTCCAAAACTTTTCCAACTGGGTTTGTACATCTAGAGTTTTCGTAAAGTTGCAAATTGTTTTTTCACATTTCAAGGGAACGCCCATTGGCCCAGAAATTATCCATCCTAACCTAGTTTTCTATAACACAGGTCTGTTATCTCCCAAATATTTTTGCCCGAATTTAATTAAATTCCAAAATATGGAAGCACCTAACAGCATATCCACTTTCCAACTCTTATCGAAATTTGGATCGGCAAGTTGTATATACTCTGGAACTTCTAGTTCCCTTTTACTTAAACATGTCATCGGAATATCTCCTGTTATCTCTGGAATCACTAAACACGATATAATTTTGTTATATGAATCAAATCTAGAACCTATCTGCACATTACACTGCTTAGTTATTTTTGACAAATGCTCTCCAATCCCCACCACTGACACATTAACATCCCTTGTAGGTAAACCTAATTTTTGACACAACTCCGTAGTAATATATGAAGACTGCGATGCATTGTCCAACAAAGCTCTGCACACACTAACATTGCCTTTCGAATCATATACGTTTAAAATAGCTGTTGCTAACAAGACGTTACTGTAATCTTGCGCACACATGGTTGTACCTAAACTGTTAAGACTCACTGCTGAAACTTCTTTTGTATTCACCTCACTTGTTTGTTGTCTCACATTAGTACCAACACTCGTATTTTCACCACTCTTATAAGATTGATTTGTGTTTGTATTATCCCTCTTATTATCATACTGCAAAAGACTATGATGTTTTCTGAAACATATTCTACAAGCTCCGGCATTACATTCTCGAGACGAATGTGAACCCTTTAGGCAATTAAAACACAATCTTAAACTCTTAATTTTTTCCACTCTCTTGTCCACCTTTAAATCTAAAAAACCTTTGCACTCAAAAATCCTGTGATTTTCTCCACAACTCACACACACATTTGACACATTGCATTTCTCAAACTTTGTTGTTAATGTACGGGTTCTTGTAGATTCTTTAGGTTTCAATTTTGTGTTAATTTCCAAGGTTTCTAGTAAGTTTGCCCTCGTTTGAATAAACTTGTAGAATTCCTCTAATTTAGATAATTCTTTAGTTGATTTGTGCGTTTCCCATTTTCTCAGGGAAGTTTCGTCCAATTTATTCGATAAAATAAATATTAAGAGTACGTCCCAATTTGTTACGTCTACCTTTAATGATTCTAGTGCTCTTAAATGTTTTTTCACTATGTCTAACAATTTTCTTAACTCCGCACTTGATTCGTTATTTAATGCTTTTATGTTAACTACTGCTTTTAAATGATTATTTATTAATAACACCGAATTATTATATCTCTCACACAGTAAACTCCACGCCGTTTTATAATTACTGTCCGTAAACTCTAATGACTCTATAACCTGCTTTGCGCTGCCCTCTAACGAAGCCCGCAAATAATGAAACCTCTGAATGTCCCCAATATCCCTATTTTGATGAATAAGCGATTCGAACATGTCTCTAAATTCTAGCCAAGTCTCATATGAACCGTTAAATTTCGCTAACTGAATTTGAGGAAGTTTGACACCGAACAACGCATTATTTTGATTTACCCCGGCGTTCATTGCAGCAGGAACGCTTTGTCTCGAGGGCGCTTCACTTTTTTGACTTAAACTGTCCGCTTTTAACCCTTTTGCAAGTATTTTACTTGCCGCTAACACAGAAAAGTATTCCCTTGCAAATGTTTCACGCTCATCTAATTGTTTTTCGTCGTAATCCGACAAAGGCTCAATCTCATTCTGAATGTCTTTAAAATTATCAAAAATTGTCTCAAATTCTAACATACGCAGCTCTAACTCACTAGAAAATTGTGAAATAGTATCGTTAAATACATTCTCGTCACTCGATTCTTGACTTTGCAGCTGTTGTAACTCTAATTTTAAAGTATCTACATATTTCTTAAATCTAGTAACCTGAGATTTTATACCCCCCCTTTTCCTCACCAACTTTTCCAGTTCAGTCATTTCTTATTTTATATAAAAAAAAAACTTACGTAAACAATTTCACCGTATTTTTCAAGAAAGTATGGAAAGGAATTTAAAGAAGTACTCACTTTGTTGCTTTTCTTCTGTACCTGATCTACAGTGTAGACTCTCCACAGTTTGATTACATCTGGTTTCCACAACACAATTGTTTTTGTTTGAATGACGTTTTAAACGTCACGTTTGACAGACTTTTAACACGATTGTTTGAATGAATTTCCCGCAGGCACGATTGTTTGAATGAATTTCTTACTTGTCACGTAGGCACAATTGTTTGAATGAATTTCTCACTTGTCCCGAAGGCACGATTGTTTGAATGAATTTCTCACTTGTCCCGAAGGCACGATTGTTTCTCACTTTTTGCTCTTACACAGGCTTAATCCGGCTCGAAGGACCACAAAATGTTTAATAAATGACACCAACACAGTATTTTTGGCGATTTATTATAATTAACTCTAAAACTGTATTATAAAACTTTACATTTTTTAACAGTATACTTGAGCTTCACGTTTCTTCGATCGCTGCTCTCAAGCGTCTCTTCGTTCGTACACCTTCGTTCTAAATTGGACACGTCGGCGCACCAATCACAAATCGTCTTTTGTTCACGCCACATTCTAGTTGCCCAAATGTATATAGTCCGGACAAACATTCAACACCTTTGCATTAACACAGGGTGATCACAAAAGGTATTGAGGTATTTTTAAAGAATAACAAAATAATAAAATACTCTAAATAAATAAAAACAGCACAGTCATTAACAAATGAGAATTCTTATCACAAAGAAAAATTAAGTATATTAAACAACAGCTAAACAACAGGTAAACAAAATTTATAAAAATTCTTCCAAGGCAGCAGCAATTCTATTTTTTGCTTTTATGTCTTCTCTTTTTAATTGCAAATTATCCTTTTGAAGTAAAATTTTTTCCTGACAATAACTTTTTAATATACTTAATTTTTCTTTGTGATAAGAATAAATTGCTTCTTGCCCCTGTTCCGTTAAAGTTGCTAATGTTTTTGCTGCTTTAATACTATTTTCCAAATTCTTACTTTTTAATATTGTTTTTTTTTAAGAATTGTTTTCCCTTTTTCTACAATATTTTTTTTTGTCTTCGGATGGACCAGCCACAGGTAAATCAGCTACATTTGGAGACGGAGGGGATGAATGTAATTCATTGTAATTAATTGTATTTACATTTTCGTTATTTCCATTATCAACTTCATATTCAAAAATCTAGAAATAAAATTAAAATATTATACAGTTTATAACACAGATCCACCAAGTAATTTATAAATTATTAAAAAATTAGATAAAATTTAAGATAAGGGGTCTTCCATAAAGGACGTCACGCCCTAGGGGGAGGGGGGTCTAGCTAAATGTGACCATTTGTGACAAGAGAGAGAGAATGTGACGTCTGAAATTTTCTTTATTCAATTTCTCCAAAATTACATATTTTGTATAGTTTTTTGAATTTGTGACGTGATATAAGGGGGGGGTTCGCGTTGCTGTGACCATTTGTGACAAGGGGGGGGGGGGTAAAAAATTCTCCAAAAAAGCGTGACGTTCTTTATGGACGACCCCTAAGTTGATCTTGATAAAATTTAGTAAAAAGTAAAATTTTTGTTTAATTTTTTTTTAATATTGCATTAAAATCTTTAATTTTTCTATAAATATTTGGATTCGCTCTGCCTGTGTTGATTATGTATATATCAGTACAACTTTAAATGCTATAACAATATAAATTCGTTATATACAGATATATCTATTGTATATATACTTATATTATTAATCTTAAAATTATTAAGAAATCTTATTGAAATCAATTTATAACTTACGATTCTTGAGTCAGATTCTTGAATGTTTGGGTCCCCTTCATATGATGTAGTGTTCATAATGTTTAGCACTGCCTCATTTTCCTCTGAGATTAGTGGTCTGGATGGCCCCCCTCCAGTTCCGCCCATATATTTTTTCAATTGAGAATTTTTTCTTTTTGCACTTTTTTTCATGTCCTGCCATGTCTAAAAAAATGAGTAGGAAAGGTTAATTTCAGAATGATTGATATAGCAGTAGGCTTAAAAAAATTTAAATGGAATAAAATGAGAAATCAAAGTTTTTTGTTACATTTTAAGAAGTATATAAAAGCATTTTTATGTTAAATTAATATTAATTAAACCAATAAAGTACTAACTTTCTTTCACTGGAGCCAACTCTGGTTCGCACCTGGAACTGAATTTAGTTCCGTAGCAATTTCTTGCCACTTTTCCTGTGCCATTTTATGGCTAAAAGTTGAACTAAATTTATTTTTAATTAGCTCTGGCTGATTTTGCATCGCTTCTATCATCAATCTTTTTTGTCCTTCTGACATAAAAGCTCGTTTGTTTCTTCCTGAGACGTGGGGGTCAACCATTTTCTCTAAAAATATACTTTCCAATTATACATTTGACGCATTAACATTTAAATAGTAATTTAACGTTGTTAAATAGATACTTCCAATATAAATTATAATACTTAAATCTGGTTGTATCAAGTGATAATGTAACTCATAGAAAAAGCATGTAACTACCATAAAAAAAGCATATAACTACGCACAATTTCAAACCTGAAACCACCCTCCTCTGTGCCTGAAACGAATTTATTTTTTGACATTCAATGTTGCCAATAAAAGAAATAAAAAGTTACTTAAAAACCCTAAATATTAGTATGAACTAATACACAACATACGTTATCAAAGGAAATACATTCCTACGAGGTTCAAGAATTGCAATTCTTTCGATACTTCGATTCGCAAGAGAATTTTTATAAGTGGAAATTTTCTCATAGGAATTAATTCCTTCGATTCAAGAATCGGGCTCCTGATGTATTCATTGCCTTCTTTTCTTTCTCCCGTTTGGCTGTAGAACATAAACAATACGCAAGCCGTTGTAGTGTTTACAAATTGACGGCGTTAATACAATCAGTTTCAAAAGTCTTGCACCACCCTGTAATATTACTTTAAAATATCGTTAAAGAATGGAGTACCTTAAATTCATAAATATCATAAATATTTTGTATTTTACTTGATAATTTCAGGTATTTAAAACGTCACATGAAAAAAATAGGAATTTTTATTAAAAATAATACAAATCATTTTAACAGAAATTAATTTTATTTCAGAAAATATCAAACATACTAAACTTAATATCTTGTATTTCCACCCCTACTTTGAAGCAAAGCTTAAACACGTCTGTACATCGCTCTTATAAGGTTGTCAATAAAATTTTGAGGCATATTGTTCCATTCATCAATTGCAGCTTGAACAAGCTCTTATAACAGGAGGGTTGAGGCGATGTCGAATTGCCCTGGACAAGTAATCCCAGACATGTTCTATAGGGTTCATATCTGGAGAATTAGCTGGCCATACCATACCTTCAATATTACCCTCTCTTAAAACTTCCTGGGCAGCTCTTGTGCGATGTGGGCGAGCATTATCGTCCATAAAGATAAAATTAGGGCCTATCTCAGCTCGCATTTGCTGAACAATGGACCGTATAATAAGATCAATGTAGAGTTGACCAGTCATCGTACCAGGAACGTGGACCAAAGCTGTTCTTCTTCCGAACATAATGCCTCCCCAAAACATTTCACTTCCTCCTTGATATGGTACCACTTCTCTACAGGTAGCAAGTCTTGGCTGGTCTCCCCTTTCCCTCCATACTCGAATTCGGTTATCATCGCTGACTAGGCCCCTTCCTGTTTCATCAGAAAATAACACATTTCTCCACTGGGGTAAAAGCCAATTTTGATGATCACGGGCCCATTCCAAACGAGCTATTCTGTGTCTAGGTAACAGTCGAGGTACTCTTAAAGGTCTCCTGGACCGCAAACCAGTGGCCATGACCCTTCTCCGTATAGTTGCATTTGATATTACTCGATGGTACGTAGCTTGATAATGAGATCTAAGGCTACTTACGGTTGCAGACCTATTCCTTCGGGAAATTTGGCTAATGTAGCGATTCTGTCTGTCATTTGTGACCCTTGGACGGCCACTTCGGGGTCGATTTTCCACTGTGCCCGTTTTATCATGCCTCTGAATAGTTCGAGTAACTGTACTGTGTTCTATCCCCAATCTGTGTGCTATTTCGCCGACGGTGGTCTAGTATCGCCGACGGTGGTCTAGTGGTTAGTGCATGCTGACTACAAGCCGGAGGTCGTGGGTGCGAATCCCACCAGGGGTATGGCTGTTTATTTGTGTTTTTCCTATTGTGTATTAGTCCTTCGGAGGGGACTTTAAGCCCGCGGTCCGTTCCTACCCCTAACCCGCACAGGCCATTCAGTTGGCTTATGGGACTTCTTAAGAAGTAAGGGTGGAACTAAAAGAGCACTTTTGTATATAACTTTTGTATATTTGCCGTTGAGAGTATCCTTCTTCGTGTAAAAAAATTATTCTTAATCGAATTTCTTGGGACAATGGATTTCCAGACATTTTTGCTTTTATTAACGAATATTTTACTACGTTGAACAGGACGCATAAAATGATTATTTGCACTTGTAAATGTTTTGCGGAATAAACGTAACATTTTTTTGAATGTTTTTTTTTGTTCTCTATATAAAAACATATCTACTAATTTCTTTTATCAGTGCAATTTAAAATATTCAAGCATTTCGTCATATACGGGGGTGGTGCAAGACTTTTGAAACTGAGTGTATATAAAATATCGTATGCAAGTAAAATAGTAGTAATTTCCTCTTCATTCATTTTATTTTTTATAAATCACTTTAGTTTATTTAAAAAAAAGCAAGAAAAATTTATATAATCACAATAAAAACACTATAAACACAAAACTCAACGCAATTGAAACATTAAAAATGTCAAACCATCTTAAGAAAATTCGAAGTCAAAGTTTGCAGCTTGCAAGAAACGTTGCCCACTTTAACGTCGAATTTAGTTGTGAACGATGAAACTGTTTCACATTTGCTTAGCTTGCGAGTAAAAGTGTCTCGGCCAGCGAATTCATTACGAATGTAGCTTCACTTGTTTTAAGCATATTTTATAATTAAATTATTCAATATTTTTTGATTATTTAATAGTAATGATTATTATAACGTTATTATTATAATTATTGTAACATTATTTTTTGAAAATTCGATAATTTTGTCAACCCCGTTCGATAATTTCACTTTTTACATCTGACAACACTGGGCGTCAACCAGCTATGGGAAGAACCGCGACAGTTTAACTGAACAAGTGAAAACCCTATCATGTACATATATCAAGGATTTATCTCCCAACCCTGCCTGTTACCTAATTTATGCACACCAAACTTATAAACTAAACTGAAAGTTTGTTTTTGAGACGTGCAGAAATAAAAAAAGAGCACGATATTATTTATGTCTGAGACTGTCCCTATGGTACTAGATACGGCCAATTATAAATGCATGCTTACCTTTTCCAATTTCATTATTTCAATGTTCTCATCGGTAACTGCCTCCCTTATCGTAAAAAGTTCTCCAGTGCTGGCTCCATTATGAACAACCAGTGAACTCAAGAAACACCGCTTCCACCTCCGTTTGATTTTAAATTAGTTCACAAACAGTGTTTGTCTGTGCATTAGGTACTGATAGAGAGATTGCAGTAGCACTGTGCACAGGCCGTAAATGCGTGCGCAGTGATTCCCGTTTTTTAACTACAAACTAACAAAGATTAAGACTTAAATTCGATATTGCCATAAAATTTCGAGATAGAACATTAAATTTTCGAGTTATAACTCGTAATTTTAAAATTTCGAGATACAAGTCGAAATTTTAACCTAAAATTTCGACTTATAAGTAGAAATTTTAAAATTAATTCTTTTTTTTTGTTCTGCGTCTCTTCTATAAATCCGCTAAAATAATTATAAAAATCAGATTAATTGGGCATGTTTAAATATGATTATGTAAACTTAAGCCCCAATTCCGCCACCGCCCCCAAAGCAGCTTCTGCCCCCTCGGCTCCTGCCGCCACGACCTCTGTCGCCACGGCCGCGGCCCCTGTACCCACGGCCCCTGTCGACACGGCCCCTGTCAACACGACCCCTGTCAACACGACCCCTGTTGCCACTGCCACCACGGCCTCTGCCGCCAATTCCTCGGCCTCTACTGCGGCGCAATCCTCTTCCTCGCCGAATCTATTATTTATACAAAAAAACTTATTACAACAGAATGGTAACATTTGAATTTAGGATTTGCCTCCCCCGGTTTTATCGGCTCCTAATTATAAATTGATATATTAATTAATGCATACATTTCTTGTACAAAAACATGATAATTTTTGTAAGAAAGAGTTACAAGTAAACATTTCCATTTTTTTCCAATAAAAATTAAAAAAGTTTGTTGCACTCACATTAATAATATCTTGGGCAGCCTGTGAAAATGATTTATGTTTTTAATAATTCAATATTTTATTAACATTATTATTACCTTACAGTTTGCTCCGGTTTCTGTTAAAAAAGATAAATAATGTTTTCTGATATTTAATTATTTTAGTATTAATAACAAATGTTATTACCTCATCAGTTATATTTACTGAACTTTCGCCGTTCTTCTGGCCCTGCTGAAATATTAATAAAATTAATAATACCATTTAATTTAATATTTTAGAAGTATTAATATTAAATTTTTGGGCTTATTGGTTTGCTCGGACTCCTAAGAAATAAATTATTAAGATTAATTACAAGTTTTATATTTAGGTATTTTATTATTATTATTATTCCCCATCCCCCTTCTCTTTCTGGACCAGCTGAAAAGTTAATTAGATTAATAAAGAATTTAATATTTTGGAAATATACAACGTTTTTTCCCCGAAAGGCTAAAGACGGTTTATTTCACGTCTTGCTTAGGCTTGATCCCTATAAGATTACCCCCCCCCCGTTCCCCACGCGCGAGCAGCTTCCCCTCTCTCCTTCAACCCCCACTCTCACAAACCGTAGTAATACTATTATCTTATAAATCCGTCGTCGAGGACTTAACACTCCGATGGTTGCGCCCTTTAGACTAACATCACTGGTCGCGCTGTGAGATCCATAGCCGAAAATTAACTAAATCATCACATTACTAATGGATAATAGTTAAATAAAATATAAATTATATTTTTAAAACTTTATTAAGAAAATATAAAAATATATCTTCAAATTTAAACTAAAAATACATTTCTTAAAAAAATAACATTAAATAGAATATAAACTAAAAACAGCAATAAAAATAAGAAATCATTGACTAGTGTTTAGTAACTAAAATAACTCTTCACATTAATTCACTATTGCGTTCTTATTTACTATTATCTTCTTCATTTTCGGTTACTCTACAACCATCAAAGCAAATAAAGACACAGTGCTGAAGGCACAGATATAGGCCACACGACTGGCAAGAATACTAAGTCAGTCTTCGTATTTTAATTTGTAAACGTTGACTTGTCTAGTTGCGTTGTTTTCGGGTTTATGGGCCGAAGGTAAAATTTGACGAATTCTTGAAGTAATCGACCAAGGTAAGTTTTGAAGCATTGATCGCTTTACCAATTGGCCATTAATTAGTTCTCTTCCCAGTTGTCGCAGAAATAGTCGACGATGTGGTACATCATTTTGATTGTCCAAATAAATAATTTGTGAATTAATTCCTGCAATATTCAATCTTTCTTTTAATTCTTTGTTGCTTTTGGGTTTCTTTTTCCAATCTTAATCTTTCTTTTTCTTTCTTTTTTTCAATTACAGAAGTATCAGTTAAAATACTAGAAGTAGTTTTTTTCTTACAACAAAGGTGCAGCCTTTGCATATGGTCTCACAGCTTCCGGAGTAACAGTATTCTCTTAAGTTTATTTTATTTTTAGAGGTTCCGGCCTGATACGTAGGAATATAAAAAGTCACTGTCTTGAAATATTTCAACATTTAATGGACAAATTCCAGTTTTTTCAAATCCTTTAAAAATGTAATTGGGTGTGAAAGCACATGGAAAAGATTTACTCACTACACTTTAAAATTTTTTAACAGGAACGTTCTTGGCAATTTGTTGCCAGTAGCGTAACCGTAAAATATACACTTGCAAATGTAAAAATACAAGGTGTCTAGAAATATTACAAGTAGTACTGCATTAGTTAAATACAAGTAAACTTGTAAATAGTCTGGGTTATCATGTAGCTTTAAAGATAAGCTTGTATTTATTATTACAATTACAACTGTAAAATAACCATCTTGATATGAAGTTTTACAAGGTTACTTGTGTTAGTTTTACAAGCTAATACTGTACTACAGGAGTTTTTGCAACTATTAAAAGAATGTGTTAATTTTTTTTATTATCCGGGTGAATCGGAAGGATCGCACCGAAGTCTAGGACTGCATTCTACACATTAAAATAATTAAAAAAAACTCAAATGTTCTTATTCGATTCTCATTTGTTTTAAAGTTATAGCAAAATTTAAAAAAAATAAAATGAAACGGTAACATTTGTTTAATAGTTATGACTTTTTATAAGGTGTTCAAAAATACCCCCATTGAGTTTTAAACATGCTCTGCTACGTCTGCGAACAGCGCCTGTTGCTTGTCCTATTAACTCTTAACTGCGCCAGTATTAATTATTCGTTGAATTAGTGCCTCTCGATTATTTACTTTAACTTTGTAAACTTCTGTTTTAAACCAACCCCATAAACAAAAATCTAGTGGTGTTAGATCTGGACTTTTTGGAGGCCAACTAATTGGACCTCCGCCACCAATCCAACGCTCTGGAAACATTTCATCCAAGTGTTGCTTGACCTCACGAGCGAAATGTGCAGGGGCTCCATCATGCTGATAGTACATTCGCCTTCTTACGTTTAAAGGGACATTCTCTAGTAATCCTGGCAACTCATTTATTAAAAAATTAAGGTAGTATTCCCCTGTGAGGGGATTCTCCATGATAAAAGGGCCAAATAAATACCCAATCATAGCACACCACACATTTACTGAAAACCTGTGCTGAAAATTGGTTTCGACTATAGCATGGGGATTTTCGTCAGACCATACGTGAGAGTTGTGCGTATTATTAATGCCGTCGTGGGTAAATGTTGCTTCATCAGTAAAAGTTACCCACCGACAAAGTTCCACACGTTTAGCATAATATTCCATATATAATTATACATAATTTAATTCATATATAATTATATATGAATTTTGACCATATATGTATACATGATCATATATGAGTTTTGGAATATATATAATTATATATAACCATAAATGATCATATATGGAATTGGTACATATATAATTATATATAACCATATATGAACATATATGGAATTGAAACATATATAATTATATATAACTATATATGACCATATATAATCAAAATTATATATAAATATATATAAAACGCTTTAAATGACACTTTGCAATTCTTTGGTTAAGGACATTTTCTATTAGAACAATTTCTGCTGCATACATTCCCACCACCCAAAAAGTATTATCTATCTAGGTATACCTTTATATGACCTTTTGGGTAGCAGAAATGGATGGAGGATGTATTAATACAATAATTTTTAATAATTATTATTGTTCTAGTAGCAAATACCATTAAGCCGAAAATCACAAAATGTTCGTAACGGCGTTTTTTAACTACGGTAGTATACATGAAGGTGGATAGTTAATAAAATAAAAAAGCTTATAGAAATATTTTTTATAGTCTGTAATGAATCATTACTAATGATACACATTATTACTAACGATACACATTACGACATCTATGAGAGGATTTCCTAACTACCCGACGTCAAGGAAAGAGTTGGACTACCAGAAACCTGCAGTTAGACGAAACTCTAACAGATGGCGCTTGGACAGCTGTCAACCGCCTATAGGTTGTCAACAATTGTTGCACACGGCCCGTGTGAAGGATTTATTGCACGCGGCCCCAATTGTTTTTCATCAAGTCTGTCATCAGAATTTCGTCTATAAAACCGCTGCATTTTTCAATGGACAATCAGTCGTCTGGTGGCTCAGTTCCAAATGGTGTTATCAATTGTGAGCCCGAAAACCAACCACTAAATCACAGAGAACTCTCAGTGGAATATTAACAGTAAGTTAACCTGTTTTTAATATCAAAGGGCTTTAAGCCGTATAATATTAAGCTTTAATAGCAGAGTTAATGAAACTGTAAATCCTGTATGCATATAACATAACCTAACAACATGTATTTTTCCACTAGAGTCCAATTGCAAATCTGCCCTGTCTCTCTGTAGGACTGAAAACTACGCCCGTGCCTGCCAGTTGCCTGTGAAAAGCCCTGGAACATTTGCCTGTCCTGATTAAAGGCTATGCAAGAACCTTTGTGTGCAAAGTCTACGATACTTTTGTAAATACTGTATATAATTCTAATATAATTTTGTACATACTTTTACCTTGGTAAATAAACCAGTTTAAGTTACTTTTTGCATTTTAAATTAAACCACCAAACCCTAACT